AGAGATGGAGACGTTTCCGCTGCGCTGAGCCGAAGGAGAGTCCGGTCCCGGGGACTGAGCCCCGGATGGAAACCTCCACATGTTTGTTTTGATTTATTTCCCTTTATCTTTTTTTTTTTTTCATCGATTCATCTTCGACTCGTCTTCGACCACCGCCGTCGGTCACATGATGAAGATGACGCCGCTCTTTTGTTGACAGAGCGGCGGACAACGGCGGAATGCGCGCAGGCGTGTGAACAGAAGCTGAAAACTCCCGACCAGCACCACCCTCCCTCACTCCCTCCCTCATCCTCACCCACCCCCACCTGCCATCCAATTATCATCCATCCATCCATCCATCCAGCCGTCCATCCATTCATCCACTCGTCCGGTCTCCGCTCCGCGAGTGCTGACTGCTGTCATCCCGGGGAGGGGGCGCCTGGCTGCGTCTGCCCGGGCAGACACCGGTGGAGGAGAACCGACCGCCCTGCAGGTGAACCGACTGCTGACGGATTACCGACAGAGACAGACCGAGAGGTAAGACCCAGAGTCCACTCAGCCACTGCTCTGCTTCACTGTTGTTGCTGTTGTTGTTGTTGCTGCTGTTGTTGTTGTTGTTGTTGTTGTTATTCCTCCTTCATTCTCTGCTGCGCGTGCATTCGTGTCGTGTGCACGTACACATGCAGGAGTTTGAAAAAAAAAAGTGAGAATGTGGAGGAGTGAGAAGCTGCTGTGACGGTGACGGTGCCGCCGGTCTGTAGATTAAAGCAGCAGCAGCAGCTCCTTCCGGTGACGGATTAGACAGATTAGACAGATTACAGAGATGACAGAGATTAGACAGAGATGACAGAGATTACAGATTACAGAGATTAGACAGAGATTAGAGGCGGATTAGAGCAGAGTGCTCTTCTGAGTGTTGGGATTAGAGCTGTGTTTTCTCACAGAACAAGAGATGGATGAGCCGCAGCTCTGCTTTGATGGGGGGCAGGTGAGGTGATCAGGTGATCACTCATCCTGGGGTATATTTTGGAAAAGAGGAGCAGAGAAAAAAAAATGGGCGTTTGGTTTTTAGTTTAGTTTTTTTTTTTTTTGGACACGCGGGTTGAGCCTTTGCTCTGCTTCCTTTATCTGATGTGTTCCCCAGGCTTCAGGTGTGTGTGTGTGTGTGTGAGAGAGTGTGTGTTCACACACACACAGGAATGTTTTCCGTCTCGGCTCGTCCTGCCCACTTTTATGACTTTGTTTCCCTCTTCACATTTCCTGCCTGCAGCGCATACACGACCTGAGAGTGTGTGTGTGTGTGTGTGTGAGAGAGAGTGTGTGTGTGAGAGAGAATGTGTGAGAGAGGGAGAGTGTGTGTTTCCTTCTTTCTTTCGGCCCTACAGCTCACGAACGAACACATCTGCAGGTCTGTCTGTCTGTGGTTCTGTCTGTGGTCCTGTCTGTGGTTCTGTCTGTCTGTCCGTGGCTCTGTCTGTCTGTGTGTGTCTGTTGTTCACTCCAGTCTGCCTCTGTCTCAAATATCAAACACCTTGTCCCTGCAGCGGGGAATCCCTTTTATGGCGAACACTCATGTGCACATGTTCTTCACACATTTCACTCCTGACTCTGTGTCTCAGCCATCACTCAAGTCCAGGCTGACAACTGCCAACAACAACCCCAAACACCCCCATGACCCCCCCCCGCCCACCTCCACACCCCCCAGGCTGCTCACGACTTGTAGAAACTTCTGGAAAGTTAAAAAAAAATGAAGAAAAAAAAAAGAAAGAAAAACTTTTGTTTTCTTCCTTTAACGTCACTCAGCTCTGAGCTCGGCTTCTGTCTGGAGCTGCTCTGTATCACACACACACACACACACACACACACACACACACTGACCCGCTCGGTACAACATGACACTGTAGTGTGTACAGATCCTGCTGTTGATTTTGTGACGTCAAAATATGATGAACGACATATTTTTACATGGTGGTGATGGTGTCACGTGATCACTCTGCAAATGTGAAAAGTTACAACTATGTAACATGTTAACTATTATACAAAGTAGTAATTATTATTAGTTATTAATATTACTATCGTAGATAATCACTTGTGTGTGTTTGGTTTATTATTATTATTATTATTGTTGTTATTTTTAATAATATTTATAATTATCTAAATGTTTATCAAAAAAAATTCCAGACTGTAAAAATATTAATATATATAAAAATATATAAAACAAATTTAAAATGTTAAATGTGTTCTTCCTCATACGTTTTTTAAATTGTATTTATTTATTAATTTATTATAAAATAAATTATTGTTGATAGAGGGCGCTCTCTGTTTTGTATTATATATAAATATATATAGATATAGATATTAATTCCTCATATTTCTCTTTTATTTTTGCTAATATTTCTCTTCTATCTCTGTCGGCCGCGGCAGAAGTCTCCACAGATCTGCTCCTGTGAGAGGGTTGTCGATTTACTTTTACGATTTTCGATTTTTACCGAAATATTGTAGTAATAGTATTTGATGTATATATGTGTGTGTATATATATATAAATATATATATTATTTTTCATATATTAGAGGGCACGAATTTCGCGCAAAGCAATTTTTCCTTTGTGTTGAATATCGCGGTGCGTGGTCCCGGTTTAATTAATAATAAATACAATAAACGATAATAAAGGACAAACTGTTGTTTTCATGATATAAACAGTTCCTTAACATTTCATCAGGTTCAGGTTTGGTGGAAGTTGTTGTGTAAATCCACGGAGGACACTGTGTGTGTGAGTGTGTGTGTCAGAGTGTGTGTGTAAGTGTGTGTAAATGTGTTTGGTGAATTCGAACTATTTAAATAAATCACGTTGGGTTTTGGTTTTACATGAAATCCTACCCACGGTCGTCACGGGGAGCCCTTCACCGTGGAACATTCTCAAACCCTTCACTCTCCGTTTACTTTACACGCCGCAGACATTTCTCCCCCCCCTCTCTCCCCCTCTCTCCCCCCTCCTCCCCCCTCAGTCTCTCTGCCCCTCCGTGTGGAGGTGACTACCGACGAGCGCTGACACATTCCACCGAAGATCAGTTTCACTTCCAAACTGGAATCTCGGCCGCGTCTCGGTCGTTACTGCACACGTGTGAGCACTCAGCCAATCAATCACGATACATTTCGTCCTTTCAGAGCCAATAAATAAGTAACGATCTTACGGACGGTTATCAAACACGCAGCCGCCGAGTGAGCGCGGGTTCACGTGACAGACGCGGGTCTTAGGAGGCTACTTCAGCTGCGGCTGTGAAACTGGAGACACGGAGCTGAGAACGAGCGACACTTCAGTGGCCATAACCGTCATATCGTCTCGGTGTCGGTATTTGATGGAGTATCGAGCTGCGCCAGGCTTTATTGTTGGTTTCTGTGACAAATTACTTACTTACTTACGACATGTAAAATGTTCGTCCTGGTTTAAAATGTTCAGGTTGTTTTAGAAAAAAAAAACAGCAAAAAAAAGAAAAAAGTTGACTTTACGGAAGTGAGACTTTATTTCCGGTAAATTCATCTGATCTGGTTCATGTTTTAATTAAAGCGGAGTGAGATAAAAAAAATAAAAAATAAAAACCGTGGAAAACACTATAAACAGTCACAGATTTACGGATTTAATATCGTCCTTATTAAATATGAAATCTATAATTACACAAATACAAATGCACTTTTATTCATGTCTTTACGGTGAATCTGTTTTGTTTTCGCGGACGGATTGGTAAAAAATTAATTTTTCCCGCTCCTTGGTGTCGCTGTTGTCCACAGTAGTTGATTATTATCGTTGTTCCCAAATTATGACATCACGTGTTTATTATTGTGTTGTTTTTCTAGTTTTAATTATTTATAATATTTATTTTCGAACTCACAAACACAACCACGGACACACAAAGAACTCAAAGGATGTTGTAATATTTTTATTAATTATGTAAATTCAGTACAAGAGTGTATTTACATATATATTAGTCACAGATCAAGGACTCACATTAGAGTCATTCCAATGAAAACAAACTTATTTTTAAATATAAAATAAAATCACATTTTATTTCCCTTTAAAATTGAAGTAGTGTAGAAATAATTTATAAATATAAATATTAAAATAAAATAAAAAATAAAAAAACTAAAAAAAAAATTTTGTAATTAAAATAAATAGATGTGTGTGTGAGATAGAGAGTGTGTGTTTGTGTGTGTGTGTGTGGACGGTAACTTACCCAAAGTCGAGGCTGAAACCTGGCTCCATTTCTGCCGCCTCCAAAACGCTCTGGCGCCATCTAGCGTCCCTCTGAGGACAGTAGAAAAACACTGTGGACAAATAAAAAAAAAACCATACAACACTTTTACTTTTTACAGCCAGTAAACGCGCCGGCGCACACGCGCACGCCGTGTTTCCTGTCTCTGCTGTGGTCGGACACGTGCGCGTGACGTCGGTGTCGTCGGTGACGTCGGTGTCACGACGGCTGCTGGAAAAAACTGAAGATGAGTCTGTGTGACGTGGAGTTTGTGGTCAGACGTGGAACCAGAACAGAGTAGCGATGTAAGGACTGGAGTAGTACTGCACTGGAGTAGTACTCCACTGGAGTAGTACTGCACTGGAGTAGTACTGCACTGTTGTAGTACTGCAG